GAGCTTTAATAAAGCGATAGTCTGTCTCCCCCTCTCTGCCACTCCCCAGATCTCACACCATGGCTAGAGAATAGCACCTTCAGCAGCCTTTTCCAAGCGGTTTCATTTGTTTACAGAGTGCACCAGAGTGCTACTGGGAATGCAGGGTGAAATGTCAAGAAGTTGTGTGTAAATCTTCCAGTAATCTGTCATGTCCAGGAGGAACTGGGGCAAAGGGACAGATCTGTGGGAATATTGGAGGATTATCAAAGCTAGAGTTTTGCTACTTGGATTTGGAGATCTCTCCCTACAGAATGGGTGGATATGGAGTCTAAAAGAAGACACCAGAAAGGAAAATCCCTGCCATTATAAATACACACACCAAGGCAAATAAGCCTAAGATCAAGCAACACATGGAAGATTTCTGGGATATGAAGCTGCTTAGGCTAAAAACCCGTAAGATGGTCTAGCCCTCACTGCTAATGCTGGCAGAAGGTGTCAGTTTGGCCAAATTATAAAACCAATTTTGTTCTTAAATTTTTTGTGTTTATTGCTCCTTCTTTGGAATTCTTAAACGTTTCTCTAAACAAATAATCTTGTATGTAAAAAAAAAAAAAAAGCCAATTCTTGCTAATTTTTTAAAAAACTACATAGCTGGATTGATTTATGTTCCTTATTAGAGTAATAACTCATATGTTATGGGGTTAGGTCAATTCATAAAATTATTAATCTGGGAGAGAAAAGGTCTTGACTCTTTCCTTTTTGGTAAGCATTTATTCGTGTTTGAAAGTTCTTGTTTACGTTTGTGCAGAGTCATTATTTGGTAGCAAAAAAGCAGTGTGGAGGAGTAATACTCTTGGTGTTACCATGCCATTGTATGTTTTACTTTTTCTTGCACAAAGCACTATAGACCCATGACATTCAGTGTCAGCAGAGTTCTTCATGTACACACCTTTTTGTTTTGCATGCGTCTGTCATCCCCACTGAGTACAGTAGTAAAGACACTGTGACTTTTTTTTTTTAAATTGATTATTGAATAATACAAGTATTTTTGTGGGGGTCTGTCTTACAAAACCTGTTTGTATGCTTATAACCTTCTGACACCACAGTGAGATTTCAAATGAAGATATATTAATGTGCATTACAAGCGTGTGATTGCTCGTATCATTATGAAATAGATGAAAAATTAGTTCACTGCAGTAGTTTTTATCTGAACTGATCAAAACATCTTCCAATAATTTTTCTAACAATATGTGATTGGAATATCAACTTCACATGTTGTAGAGTTCCATGCTGCAGCCGAGAGGCATGTAAATACAAGCTGCTTATTTGCAAGAAGCTTCCAGATTTGCAATATGATTGCTATGGAAACCACACAATGAAAACCTTATAACCATCTGCGTGGTTTGGTAATTTTGCTGCATAGCTGAGCTGTTTTTGTTTACTGTTACTAAAGTGTTGAATAGAATATGTTAATCCACAAGCTGGGATTATCCAAGGTATAAACTAGTATTATGCAATGACAATGTGTCAGAGACTAGAAGACAGTAGAATACCAATTAATAATGGCATTAAATTAGAGTCTAATGGAAAAAGATGGTTAAGTAGTGTGTTAGTACAGGAAACTGCTAAGTTTATGCATATTTATCATGGAGATACCACATTCCATTGAAGGAATACACTGTTCAAGCCAAACTCTTACCCACTTTTTTTTTTTCCCCTCCTCCTTTAAGAAAAAGGAATTGGAAGAAAAAACCCAATGGATTCATGTAAAAAACTCAGTTAGTGTCGAATTCATTGTTCACTTTTCAAATTGTGGATGGTAGAATCATCTATGGTTGGGTGTTTATTTTTCTGTTTTTTCTTTAGACTGCAAATTAAATAAGTAAATTATTTTCAACAGCTTTCATGGACTAACTGAAAAAACCCTTAACAAATATAGTTAGTTCCTTGTTGCACTGTCACAAGAATTTTGTAGGTTGTTTGCCATTAGAGTCTCTGAGTACGAGCAGAGTATGGAATGTAACCTGTATCTCAAGGGTTCTTTGGATGTACAGCTCTGGAAGTGTTCACTGGTTTGATTAGTGTTGATGAGTCTCATTTTGACATAGCGAGGTGGAGAAGAATATTTTTTCACTGCAGTGGTAGTGATGATGTGAAGAAGAGAGACAGAGGAAACATTGTACCAGATAATTTTAAAGATCTGCATATCTCTTTTTACACAGTATCTTAATAATACAGAAGGACGTCTACTGCATATTTTATTTTTCATCTTTTGACTCTATTCTGTGTTGCAGCACAAACTTTAATATGTTGCATCTGACTACCGCCGTAATTCCTGGGGTAATTGAGGTGGTTGTGTTTAAAGGACATCTCCCACAGATAGTTATTGCTTCAGGACATAATACCAGAAAACACTAGTAAGAATCATAGGTTCTTTTTTACCACCCTAAGCCAAGCCTATTACATCTGCTCCACTGTGAGCATGGTTGCATTAGCAAGTAGCATGGACCATTTGCAACAGATTCATAAAGCACAAGTTTGTGCCGAGGACCTGATGTTTGCGCTGTGCATGTTTCAGAAGAGGTTTCCTATGGAGTCACTTCAGTCTGGTTCCATGGACTGAATGCTTGTTAACAGCTGGACCATGTTCAGTGTGCTTCTGGAGTGCCTCTTCCAGTCTAATTGCACCTGAAAGTTTGTCCTCTCTCTGACAACTCTGTAGTGTAAAACAAAGTGGGATAAGCGGGGATGGTTGGGATCCAGATCAGTACGCTAATATGGACAGCCTTTGTTTGAATTTGGGACCTTTTCAGTATTGAAAGAGCCTTGGTTCAGACATTTTCTCATCTTCAGGTATGGATCTGGTGAACTCTTGTTTCTAGGAAATATGTTTTTCAAGAAGGGGAAATGCATATGTTCTAAATTTTTCCATGAAACCACAATGCAATCTACATGTATTCAGTTGTACCTTATGAAAAAATCTCTTCAAACCTCCTCTGCTGTTTTACTTCAGTTGAAATACTCTCTACTGAAGTCAGTCCTCAGTTTAAGCTAGTCTGATGACCATGACAGCGATAAGAGTTAAAATCCACAGTACATTCAACATATCAATTGATGTAGGTCCAAATACTCAGTAACATGTAGTATCAACATTTAATTAATCAATGTATAGTACTCTGTGTGTTGGATGAAACTGGGTTATTCTGGGAAAAGGGAGCAATCCTAGAAAGTGTGACTGGTAATGGGATAATACTACCTGTGAGTTGTGTAATAGTGGTAGGGAAGCCACAGAATGACAGTGCCTCCTAGTGCTCCGGACAGCACATAGGGATGTATTTTTGCCATTTATGCTCCAATTGTGAGTGCTTAAAATAAACAAATGAGTGTACTTGGAAATGTGCAACAGGTTTTATGCCAAGGGGGGGAACACATTTGAATGCAGTAAATAGTTTGGAGTGTTTTGTGTTGTACTGCAGCTTCAGATTTTCCCCGTTCTATTGTTTTTTTTCCTTGGCTCAAATAATAGTTTATATTCATCTCAACCAGATTTTTAGCTAGTCAGGAGTCAGGCAGCAAAAAACTCTTGCTGGCTTAGTAGGGCAGAAGTTCAAAGCTCTTTGTGGAGTGAATCTCATGATGTAATTGTAATATTTGTAGGACTGCGTATATAGGTTAGCAGCAATTATGCATACTCATTTCAACAGGTCTACTCTTGTGCTTTAAATATCTGCTTTAACGTTTGCAGGAACAGTCTTGTGGATAGATTAAATTTTTACAAGGCTAAAAATCCTTTGAACTGTTGATATAAAATTCACTCTTTGTCGAAGTAGATAGGCAATTACATAAAAGTTGCACAATAAGGAACATTTTAAAAGCTCTGAGTTCTGTATCTGTTGTCTGTCATTAATAAAATATCAGAATTAGTTGCTGAAATGTGTGCCTTAAAAAGAAACATGAATATCTGTGTAAGATGTGATGAGTAGCAAAGCCAAATAGTTTAAATGTATTAAAAGTCCAGTTCTTGTTTGAGAAGTGGGTTTATCAATATGCTGTTTCCTCGTTCAGTACAGCAGCTTTGTCAGTTTTGGTATACTGTAAAAGTCAAGATAAATCTGTTTCTACTTCCTTATGAACCTGAAGAAAGAATACAGCTAAAAACCCTCATAGTTTGTTCCCTTTTTTGCCTCATCAACAGAATTGTTGACTGTGAAATGTGAGGAGCAGATCTTATGTCCCTGTCCTGAATGGAGTGTGGATTTACTTAAGTGAGGGCATGGGCATGAGAGAGTTCCCTGTCTGTGCCGGACAAGGAGCATGGAGCACATCTTTCGAAATTGTCTGTGGGGATTTCAGTTTTCCAAGCCTGCTAGCCAGAAAACATGCTTCAGAGCTGATCACTGGCAGGCTTTCTCTTTTCTTGTCTCCCAAACTTGCACTAAGTTATTTGATACAGTCTGGCTTGCTTAAAACCATGGTCAGGCGCAGTAGGCAGGAGCAGTGAATGCATGGCATCTGTCGTGGCTGTGTTCCCATCGTGCAGGTGTCCAGCTAGTGTGTCTGTCTGACAGTGTTGAAAGTAAGATGTCCTCTGCCTTTTATGCATACTTCTCCTAAGAACTTCTGAATTTTTGCATGGGCTGGGGATACTTTTTCAATCCTCGGTTTCCTTTTCTTTATCCTGGCAAGAAATGTACGTAGCAGAATACGACCCTCATTGTAATTGTCTCGGAATGACTGAAAAACAGCAGAACTGCAGCTCTATGTTACCGCATTCAGAGCAGAGTGAAAAGGGAAACAGATGTTCACAATTGAGATTTTGAAAGAAAGCTCTTGGAGTGTTTGGATGGGTGGGGAAAACCACAGAAATAACAACGTTCCAACTTCTGTACAAATGCAAAATAGTAAACAGGGCTTATGATTTGGAAATGTAGAGTGTGGCTTTCAGACTGATGTGGGCTGTAATTCCTGTCAGCTGAGGTGTCCCTTCAGAGTTTCATTTGCAGTTATGTGTTTTGCAGAAGAACATGTTCCTTCAAGGGCTGAAGTGCCAAGAAAACTGAGCCAGGAGAAAGTTACCACTGTTTCAGGTAATTAAAATCTTTCCTCCTGATTTTGTTTATGCACTTTCTATTTACCTTTATTTTTTTGTCTCTTCCCTTTGCTGTTTTAAAATAATGTTTTTTATAGCTCTGTAAAGCTGTCTTTTTCACCCGGGTATTTGATGGCAGCAAAACTGCTTAGCACCACTTAGGATGCATGAAAACCACTTGAGAAGGATTTATAAAGTAAGCCAATTTATACAAGGTATTCCTTCCTGAATTACTTTGTAATGACTCAATTAGCTTTCATTTCTGCACAAAGGAGATTTAGTTGCATAAATTAGCTTATCATCATTGAGGAAGTGTCACTGCTAAAGGACAGTTTATAGATACAACATGCAGTTGCTGTCAAACCTATAAGAATGTAATATAGACATCTGTGTATACTTTGTGCTTGAGGAGAACAGACTTCTGCCATTCAGAGACTAACAGGGGACAACAAGTTGCCCAAGGGACTGGCAATGTAGACGTCTCTGAAAAGGTCAACTTGACACAGGCTCTGACAATCGACCCAAAGCTCTGTCTTCTTTGATAAAAATCAGATAAACTTAAGACCACTAATTGATCTGCAGCCTGTTTAAATGTTGGCCATGCATATCTTCATTGCATATGATTACCACAGAAAGCAAATGAATTGGGTAAGAAATGCCAGAGTCCAGTGACAGCAACATAAAAATTGGAAAAGGACACAAATGCCCAGAAAGGCTGTGAAGGATATTCTCTGAGCTTTAGCTTGGCAAACTGCCCTTGTGCTAATTATCTCTGGGACTGGAAAAATAACTGCATACACCACGTAAAGTCACATGGCCAGACAACTTTTCTTGACAGAAAGGTATTTCCAGTTATGCTTAAAAACAAGATATATATGTGCTTCAAGGGCATAGACCTTTAGATAAACTATTGGTGATTTGACACTGCAAGTAGAGAAGACTTGCTTCTTATCAGACCTTACACCTTTTTGAGATCTGCTGCATTGTAACTGTGACCTGCACTGACATGCAATCTGGCTCTCCTTCCCCGGTTGCACATAATACACATAATTCTTTCAGGGCTGTCAAGGAAAGGGTGGGCAAGAAGAGTTCCTTTAGGAAGTAGCTCTGCAGTGCTCTTCCTGTTGCAACATGTGGAGAGGAAACAGAGGCCTGATTTCCTGACCCATACAGGAAAGCAGGAACAGGTTGCTGTGAGGAGTTTTGGGTTGCTTTTCTTGGAAGGGAAACAAGAGCCAAGTCATCAGATGCTGTTAGCATTGTGCTCTGCTAAAAACATGTGTAAAACAACATGACTCATTACAGCCTTAATATTTAGTACTCATTTAGACATTACCGTAATTATAAGAGTGTGTTGTCATAATGGAGTGTGGGGTCAATCCAATTATAAAGTTGCCAACAGCATTTTTTTGTTCCACTAATGTATCTTCTTGAAGTTCTAAATGGTCATACTTTTAAGAAATTAAAACCTTAACACCTTCATTTCTGAAAAGTTTCAACTGCTATGCCGTATCAGTTTTAACTAGTATTTATCTAATGTCCTTGAAAATACCATAACAGTTCTCCCCAGATACCAGATGCATTTCAAGCAGTAATTTTCTGATCTGGTCTGATCTTACTTAGTTAACTATTTAACACTGGAAACTTGTTTGACTTTTAGGGCTGAGTTGACATGAGTATTTCTTATAGGCATCACATCATAAATATCTAACCTGACTCAAGAATATTTCATGATTTTCCACACAAACAGCGCATACATTCTTAAATTTAATTTATTGCGTAGCTTTATTAAACCTGAATTTCATAGAAAATACTCTGCAAATTGTCTTTGACCTCAGCCTGATAAGTGCAAAAAACCTTTTTTTCCTACTCTTTTCTTACCCTAACTTATCTCTATTTCAATTAACGTGCAGACTTTAGTTCTTTTTATTCCTTCAGTCTTGATGCTGACTGTTGCTGCTGGATAGCTTTACATTAATTGCTAGTAACCTAATTATTTAAAAATACCAAAGCGTTGGAAGAGTTTCAGTTATATAATATGGCTTGCTGGGTCTTTTTTGCTACCACTATCTACTCATTATAATTTCCACAATCACTGTTTCAGTAAGTGTCATGTTCTGTGCTGTCTCAGTGTAAATACCTTGATTTTAGAGTAACTAAGGAATGCTAGGAGAAGGGAAGTGAGAAAGATTATACTGAACAGATTGGGCTAGGTTAGAGGTTGAGTCCAAATAAATATACTACAATTATTTTATCCTTATTTCATAATTTTTCTGACATGTGAGAAAAAGGGCAAGTAAGTAAGTAACTAATTCTTTGCAGTTTAGGACATCATCAGAACAAACAAGTAACTATGTTCTTTAACAGGGTATGTCTCATCTGGGCATTGAGACTCAACACTGAGAGTCTAAATCACTTGTGTAAGACAGAGTCATTCTGGTAGCATTAATTTTGAACTTGACCTGTCTCTCCTGCAGTATGGTAAATATTGAGCACATCATCACCAAAAGGGGATACAGTTCACCTCTTTCAAATACTGTTAAGTAGCCCAGACTAGTAATCTTCAAATCTGATGCTCTAAACTTTTGAAGAATCTGATTAAGAGTCAAGGAATAGGAATCAGAATGGCAAGCTGTTTAATATAGTGGGCAGTGGGCCACGGTGGTGAAAGGAAAAAACATACATGTGTGTTCCTTCATTCCACAAGCAATGTGTAAGCAGATAATATAACTACTAGCTCTAAGTCACTATCATAATAGGGCTTGCTAACTTAGGTGCCATCAATGTTAAAATGGAAGATAGGTGGAAATCAGGTGCAGTCACATTTATTCTAATGTTTTAAGTAGTGCATTTCCATACTTGGGCTGTAATTCCTGTTTTTGTTTTGGTCAGTTTAACGTTCTATCAGGTTTGTGCTCAGAAATAGCAAGTGCTAAAATTGTCACAAGGTAGGGGGCAGGAATGGTGCAGCCTGCAGTTAGATTGGCTTAGGCTGCAATGGGACAGCACGCTTAAATCCCTTTGAAATATGTATTCTTAATCTGTTTTTCCAGGTTTTGTTTTCTTCTGTCTATTGAGGCTGTTAGAATATTCTTATACTTTTTTCCCGTTGAGTAATCTCCATGGGCATTCTTAAGTTTTAAACAGTCTACAATATTTGAAGTGCATGCCTGAGTGATATACTTGTCAATTTTTTTTTTTTTTTACTTGAACTGTTCACCTTTCTTTCTTCAAGCATGTATCGTCAGGTGCCAGTATTTTTCAGTGAAATAAGCAGTCTGAGCCTACTGTCAGGAAGGCTGGCAGACATTGTTGTTTGATCTGTCAAATAAACTCTGAAGTGTTTTCATCAGTATATTGGACAAAAATATCTGTTGTTCCTATTACTGTTACTGGAAAAACAGAGATGGCAGAAGAAAACCGTGAGGAATTCTTTATGGAAGAGTTTTGGAAACTGTTGGATAGTTGTTCATCCAGATAGCTGTCCTGGAATGAAAGAAGTATTTCCTGGAGAAACAACCTATCCAAAATCCTGCTCAGCCATTTCTTGTGATTGGTAATACTAAAAGCAGTGGGTAGGTAAAACCAAACTGCTTTCTACCCTCTGCTACAGGTTTAAATTTTTTTTTTTTATCGTGTCTTACTCATATTTATGGCCTAAGTGACCATGCCTTCGAAATATGGCAGACTTTAGTTTAGCAATTATGTCATCATAATATTTTTTAAGGCACACAACATTTCACAGTGTATAAGAAAGAGTATAATTGTGACAGAATAATGCCAGCAAATCAATACCTTTTGAATTTTAACTTCAGTGGGCACATAGGTTCTTGATGCTAAATCCACCAGCGGTTTTCAGGTATTACATCTGTTTAAGAAGCTCCACATAAGTTCCTTACCATATAAATACCAAAACCAGGTCTCCTGGCAATCAAATGAAATTTGGCAGGGTCCTCTCCAACTGAAAGAGAAGCTGAAGTAAGAAAGAATGGGCTTGTGTTTTGCAGAGGTTTTTGCAGCTTTTTTTTGTTCTACCTCTGTGTTTGTGAAGCACTATGAATCATTTTATGAAGCATTCTGCCCTTTAGATGTATAGATTCTGAAGTTAAATTTACAATTGGCTTTTATGTGTGTGTAGTTGCACTTACAGAATTTGGAGAAACTTGTGCTGGTGGGTATGAGACGGGATTTCAGATTGCAAATTAACACTTGTTGGAAGACCAGTGAGTTGTTCACAAACTTACACTAGCACTTTCTCTCCCTATTTTTCACTTCCGTGCTCCTGATATACTGGTATATGTTTTTCTGAGAAATGTTGCTTTCTGATTTAAACAACTCTGTCTTATGTTGAATTCACAAATGAGGGCACAGAGCCATGGTTAGTCTTTGGGCAACATCTTCAGTGTTGCGGTAAGCTTATTTTAAAATGCATCTTTTCCAGTGTTGCTGTGTTATTAGTTGAGTTGCTTTCCCAACTTAATGCTTAATTAATGCTCATGATGAACATTAGAGAGAGAGGTGTCTCACCTGCTGTGGGATCTCTTCTGTTGCTGATGTTCCCCATGTAACTCCCATTAGTGATGAAGGTCAGTGTGAGAAGTCATGATTAATTTTAGTGCAATTCTGAAGAAGTAAAAGTCCTGATTAATATATTAAACCAAATCAGTAAGACAACTGCTGAAAAATTTGAAAGGTGGGATATACCGAAATAGCTCTTTTAGTTTTTTCTCATGTGGGCTTACATTATCTTCTGCGACATAGAGCTGGGAACTGTGATCAGTGCAGGATCAAAAGACTGAGGAGAGATTCTGATTTAATATTCATCACAGATTAATTTGGTGCTAACCTGTGTTACTGTTTATAATTGTCTAATGCTAAATTGGTGAATGATGAGCTGACAAATAAGAAGGGCCAAAATTTGGAGGTGCAACATTTCAAACTGATTCCGCCTTCCTCTTGAAATTATTCTGTCTATGCATTTTACAATAACCAAATCTTTTATTTCTGAATGGTTGGGAGTTCTTATATATGTATATATTGCTGCTTTTGGTGTAATGTCAGAAGAATTTGTGCACTGGTAGTCAGAACGCCCCCTAGTGCTATATAGCAAAGTGGGAGCTGCTAATCACCAGTTTATGGAAAATTAAATGGTGCCTAACTTGCACAGCAGCTTTAAATTCAAGGTTGTGAATATTTAGCCATATGACAGTATTGCCATCAAAACAAGATAGCACAGAACACAGGCTGAAGTGGATAAATAGAAAACAAGCTCTTATTGCTCATACAAACAGTATTAAAATTAAAATCTAAGTATTTGTCAAAACAGGGAAAAACAAGTTGAATACTGCTATATTTTTTTTATATATCGTGACACTTTCTCTCGCTTGATACTTGATATTTTAGCAGGATTTTTTCAGTAATAAAGTGAACCAATCATGATTAAATTGTAAACTATAAATAATGGTGTGGAGTGCTAACGACATGCAAATGTAACTGGTGTATGTTGGAATAACCAGCAAGCCTGCTGTTCAAGGATCATATAACAAAACTAAGATGACAGCCTTGATCCAGCCAGTTCAGTGATATTTATGTTATCAGAATTAGAAGATAGCTTTCCAGTGATGTAAATTATTAGTACATATACATTCTGTCTGGTTAGCATATACATAATGTAACTGGTCATCTTAGTGGTATTGCTTACATTCTTTTTGCATTAACTCATCACACTCCATTCTCATGGAATTAAAAACAGGAAATAGTTTGCAGTGTAACAGAAGCACCCAGTGTATTTAACCGTGTGTAAGCGCTGTGTTTCAATAGATGTACTCTGTATTGTAAGTGTATGACAAAGCATTTATTACTGTGTTATTGCCGTATTACAGAGCAAAGAGTGCTAAATAATCAATCAGTTAATGGTCTGTATGGCAGCTTGAACACAGCACATCCATTGTGCTTACGCTGTTAGAAGGATGAGTTTATGACTGTAGTGTAGTTGCATGTTTAGCCAGAGCTTAATGTCCTAAACTGGAGCTGACACAAATATTTTTAAAATGCAGCTTCAGCAATGGTTTCCAAGTTCTCCAATATTTCAGAAGGAACAATCAAGGATTATCTCAAAGGTTCTCAGAGAAGTTATTTAGTTTTGTTGGAACAGGAGAAGGAGGGGGAGCGTATCACAAAATACTTACTTTGGCTTCCTTTCATAGATTATTATTAATTATATTCTAGCAATTTTATCAGTTTCAAGTTGAGATACAAATATAGCTTGCTGGAAATACATTAATAGAGGAAAACTAGCTGCTTTAAGTTGCAGCTGGAAAACGCTTTGAAAACCTGTAGCTACATGTCTTGAAGTGATACAACTTGCCAGTGAAGGGCTCGCACATTAAACTTGTTTCCCACTTGCTTTTGTGGAATGAAGGAGCTGTTTCTAAAAAGAGGAGTAAGAACTGCGCGCTAATAAATTGCTTTGTAGTATCTGGAGATTTAAAGAGTAACTTTAGTCCCTCAATCTTTATCCTTTTGTAATTCGATGCTGTTTTCTTTGCAGATGGCAAAAATACTGATTATGCCAATTTCTATCAAGGTTTGTGGGACTGCACAGGAGATGTACCTGATGAGTTGACATTTAAACGTGGTGATGTTATCTACATTCTCAGCAAGGTACGGCGTGCTACTAGGGCTACATAGTTGTAAAAAGAGAGCCATGGCAGAAGGGCACATTCCCACAGTTCTATGGGGGGAAATTGGCACTCCCTTTCAGATCCTTTGTTTGCAATCAGATATTCACTGCAATTAATTATTTTGTCAAATGAATTATAATCACATTTAAAACATAGCCATGTAACAGGAATTAACTTAAAAGCATGTTTATTTACTTGTTAAATCTTGGCTACCATTTGTTAACTGATTTAATGGGAGACAATGTGCTTTCTGCTTGTAAAAGTTAACCTTGTAGAATTTTAAATTATCTTGTATGTTATGTTTTTTGTTTCCTGTTTTATATTCCTGACTGTGCTGATTCTGACTTTTTGGGCATCTTGCTACAGATGATGGTTTGTTTTTTTGAACTATGCTTTCATCTTTGTTATGTATATTGTAATTGTTCTGACAGCTCAGATTCCAAATTTGTTTGCTCTGACAGATTTGGGCAATTTTTAATTTACTGCTTTCCTGTTTGCAAAGCAAATGAGAAATATAATTCCTCTCATCTAAAGTGATAATAAGCAGTATAAGCATGAAATTTTATTCTACTTCAATGTTGGTTAATTTTCTTATTTTTCCTTAACCCCCCCAACAAAAACAAAACCTCTCCTAAAATATATATCTCATGGTCCATTGAAGTCTACTTCTGAGCAATTCATCAA